TCTGTCTTCTCTCTCTCTCTCTCTCTCTCTCTCTTTCTCGCTCTTCCTCTTTCGCCAACTGCTTTTTTCTGTGTCAATTACATGGTTTCATGGGGAGTATATTCTTTCATATACTGTTAGAAGAAAGCCGCACGGTCGCTGCTCTTGTGAAACCGCGTTCATACTTCGCGACTCGAAAGATACAATCGCGCGATCTCTTTCGCACAGCTATGACCAACCGCGTCCCATCGCTGGGCCACTGGACTACTGGAACTACAGGTCCGATAAAATTAAAGAGAGGACTTCTTCCGACCACTCGCACCGGTCCAGCGACTAGCAGAGGAGCACGGTTGAACACAGCCGTGCGACTGAATCATTTGAGTTGCTACGTGTGAACGTTACCTTACTGGGAGGCGACTTCTTCACGGTTTATTTGCTTTCGGACTTCTTCATGCTGTTTTCAAGCACACTGTATTTTTAAAAACGCTATGAAACCAAAATGACACCAAAATGACGACAGTTGTGATGACTTTACTTCGTATTTGGCTCCAGCGTTTTGTTCAGAAAACACATGAATTGTCAAAATGCGTTGAGTTAGGGGTGCTTTTCTGAAATGGAAACAGAAGTCTGTAGCGGTTGCGTTTCAGGTTCTCCAAGCGTTAGAGTTTTTGCACAGTCGACATGTCATTCATAGAGATATCAAATCGGACAATATTCTGCTTGGAATGGATGGTTCAGTAAAATTGAGTGAGTTGATGTGTTATTTAAAGGAGACGGTCAGGACATTCGTAATTTGCGGTCCTGTCGCGCGGACCATGGGCGCGACGTTTTCGTAATTTGTGTAAGCTGTTGATTGAGCACCGGAATTCATAAACTACGACTCGCTATTTTTGATAATAGATCGCCTATTATCCCATCTGCGACCTAAAAGCATCGTTATTTGTGGGGCGACGTCGCACGCGGCATCCGGCGGGCCGGCGAATTACGATTGTCTTGTCACATACTTATTTAAACGTTTTGTTCCCATACATTTTTTTTGTTGTTCGTTTTGATCCCTCGCTGTTGGCGGACATGACAATGGTTTTTTTCCGCGTCACCGCGAGCGGCGTTTCGCGCAACCATGGAAGCCAGTTCTTGTTCTGCATCAGTTTGTCGATAGGAGCACCGAAACTCGTACGAATTCAAGCAAAGATAAAATTCCATGAGCGGCTATATCGAATTTCCTTTCCCCTTGGCACCCATATTTAAAAGGTAGAAAGGTAGGACTACTCATCTGTGGCGTCGCTCGCCACGCCCACCAGAGCGACATATTACGTTTGTCTGTCACAGACCCATCCGATTGTCTTGTCACAGACCCTACCCTGCAGTGTGTGCATCGTGTGCTACCCAAATGCATTTACGTCAGCTTTAAATACTCTCACAGACCGATTGTTGAGAGACTCGTCACCTTATAGTTTTTTACATAATAACTCATAAAAATCTGCTTCAGCCGACTTTGGATTTTGTGCACAAATCTCTCCAGAGCAAAATAAGCGGACTACAATGGTCGGAACTCCATATTGGGTAAGTATAATCCACTGTCACCACTGATTTTTTTTGTGTAAGTGACATTATTATTATTTTTCAGATGTCACCCGAAGTGGTTACTCGGAAACAATACGGCCCAAAAGTGGACGTATGGTCACTGGGTATCATGGCGATTGAGATGGTTGAAGGAGAACCACCGTATTTGAATGAAAATCCTTTGAGGGTAGGTTTTTCTTTTTATGACTGGTAGTATACGAAAGGTCCAGGGGAAATGTAGGGAAACGGGCAAATTCAAACGAGGGTTGACGTCCGATTTTAATTTTTATAGGCGATTTACCTCATTGCAACAAATGGCAAACCGGATTTCCCTGGAAGGGATCAGTTATCTGCCTCATTCAAGGTGTGTTATTTTTATTTTGCTCAAATTCTAGCTGTTTTTTTTTACAAATCCAGGGTAGAGGGGCAAGGACAAAAAGGACCATTGTCAAAACAAATTGGGCGCATCATCGCATTTCACTCCGCACAGGGTGACAAGGTACATAGAAGATACCATGTGGAATATTCCTGAGAGATTCTTCTTTGACAGGGACCGAACCTTGCAGCACTGCATCCACCGTCGCGTTAAGGGAAATCATTCTAGTCGAGGTTAAGGCCAGCCAGGACGCCTTCTACTAGTGAGGAAAAATTCTGCAAAACGCGATCTCCTCCCCTCCCCTCCCCATCCCCCGATCTCCTCCTCCGGTGCGATCACCCCTCCCCATCCTACCTACCATTTTCTTGAATTCTCTCTATTTTCACTCCCTACCACGTTTTCAGTGCTTTGAAAATTCTTCCCTTTCTCTCTCTCTCTCTCTCTCTCTCTCTCTCTCCCCACTTCGAAGAAAAAACTGCCATGGGGGAGGGTGGGGTAAATGGCACACGTGAAACGGGAAGAACCCATAAACCACGAGAAAGAACCTCTCGCAAAATCAAATGAACCTCCCCCGCTTTCCCTCCGCGACCAAATACGATCTGCCTCGCAGCGGATACGCAAAAACGACGTGCCTTGAAGTCAGCACGGCCTCCAAGCCTGCGGCCTAGAACGGCTGTGTAGTTACTCGGGTTGATGAGTCACTAGCCTGCACATTCCAGGAGATTGTCGCTCTGACACTGCAAAACATGAGCCATACAGCTGCCTGGACAACGTTGATATTGTTCGCCATTTGTTCCTCATGACTCGACCTTGCGTGCCAGATTGATTGATCGCCAGGGGTCCTGGGATCCCGTGCACGTTTGTTGCTCGTATTCTTGCAGGACCTGGGACCAGGGTCGAACGTGAAATGCTCAGAGTGGCGTCACTGTGTGTGCAAAGTAAGGCTCAAGGATGCGCTCTATGAGTGAAGTTAAAGTCTCGTTCGCTGTGGACGATGGAGCGTATCAGCGCGGCTGCATTTGGCACTCCGCCAACCCGCTCTCCATCAGCTGAAGAGGGTAATTGACGATTGTTGAAAAACGATATGATTTCGGGTTGGCACCGCGCTGACACGCCCCATCATCCGCAGCGAACGAGAGTATATCTCTTTTTGGCTGTCCCTTGGCATTTGGTTTCCGATGCCCTAGAAGTTCATCTGTGCTTCGTGCCGGAAAGTGTCTCAATGGTTTCTTTTTCAGGATTTCATCGACTGTGCACTGGAAGTTGTTGTAGATAATCGTTGGTCAGCGAGTCAGTTGCTCACACATCCGTTCCTACGGTGTGCAAAGCCGTTGGCATCCCTGTACTACCTCATCGTTGCCGCCAAGAAAAGTATTGCCGCGAGTTCGTAGCTGAGGAATTTGTTGATTATTCGATTGCAACTGGTACGGCTGGTAAGAAGATAAGTTAATTCAAGTTCAGTGCCAAAGTCATATGTTCGTATTTGTCATTTTAATCGTTGACATGCATCCGTTGCAAAGTCGGTCATATCCCTCCAGTTCATGAATACATTTAGACACTTGTCCCTCATATCCCTGTCATGTTTTCTGAATGTCGT